CAGTCTCCCACCTACTGGGGTGTCGACAACTTGGACGGCTGGGGGTGGGAGGTTGCCTTTGCAAAGGCTGGCTGTGACACCCTGGCCAGGGCCTTGAGAGACGTCTCAACACGGGCCAAGGTTGAGACCCTGGAGTGTGTCTTGGATATCTGTCCATTAAAAAGATCAGAGCCGGACCAAGGTTGACGCAAAAGGTTTCTCTTGAACGCTGGGTCCCAAGTCGACAAGGCAAGGTACCCAAGGTGTCTAGTGGTAGTGAGTTCCATCAGAGCGGCGCGCATGTGGGAGCGCATTTGTTCCACTTGACATTGGAGGTAGGATACCACGGTAGTTAGATGGTCAATCCTATGGGGGTTGTCCTTCGATAAGTCCTGCAGTATAGCCCTGGAGAGAGAGGTTTGAGCGTGTGACGAATCTCAGCCTCCACGTAGGCGAGTTTGCTGTCGGAGACTCGGACTGAGGTGGAGTGGTTCGATCGTGTCATGCGGTGCATGTCCTGATCTAGGGAGTGAGCGTGGTCCGAAACTTGAAGAGAGTGGATTGGGAAGTCATCTTGTCTATAACGTGGGGGCCAGTGACAGTTTACTGAAGTCCTCATCCAGAGCTGAGATCGTGTCTCTGATCAGTGGGTCAGGAGGGATCGAGGTGGGGTCCACATGGATGGCCGTCTTGCTATCGACCTCTAGGCCAGGCGAGGGAGTGATAGTCACCAATCTGTCTGCCAGCCAGTCTGCAACTTGGTCAAAACCCATGTGGGATTCGCCGTCCATAGGGGTGTCGTCATAGCAAGGGATAAAGGCTCCCTCCGAGGAGTCAGATCGATAGCCACTTGAGCGTCTGCTAACTGGGGAGCAGCTCCTATATCTATCACCATGTCTACAAGATCTGCTGTCACTCCTCCGACAATAGGTACTTGGGGAAGCCGCGTCTGCGGAGTGACGAGAGGTAGAAGGCATCTGTGAGGTCGGCCGACGCGGCGGAGGCAAAGGCACAGGAGTCTGTAAGGGTGCTGTGCAGATAGGCGCCATCTGAAAGGACGCTTGAGGAGGCATCTGCAGAGGCGCTATGGGAGGCGCTAGTAGAGGCGTCTGTCAAGGCGCTGGCGTCGACGGCTGTCTGGCCTGTTAGTACTGAATGTACTGGAGGAGGGAGGCGTCTATCATGGGCATCTGTGCCGGAGGCGGGGGCGCCTGTGGGAGAACGAGCGTCTGTCCGGAGGATAGTATAGGCGCCGTCTCGTACGTGAACGCCACGCCGGGCGTCACGGTGGTCACCGCCGTAAAGATGGACGCTGTCGTGGTTGTCAAAGTGCTCTGGGTAGAGACTACAACCATGGGGTCCGACATCAAGGTAGCAGTTGAGGTCGGGGGGTGGTCATCCAAGATGGCCGACCTAGAAGGCTGGCTACTGCCGGCTATGCAAAATATTCAAGATGGCTACTTGGAGCAACAAGACACCTGGCCTTAGGTTTTCTTTTGAGAAAACGCCAGTAAGTGTCTAATAATGTTATGCACATGTTTATCAAACATAGAATGTACAAAATACAAACCGTAGGCACAACACAAAGACAAAACAACACGTGAGATAGCAAACATGTGAGGGTTTGAATCAGTTTTATGTTACAGCAAAGAAAAACAGGTCTTCTCTCATCAAGTGACAAGAGTAATGTGAGGATCCGTGACGTCACTTCCTTTGGTCACGTGGGAGCTGCGTGATGGGCTGGCCTCTCAGCTAGTTGGAGCAACTTCTTCAAGCAAAAACCCTCACACAGCTCTTTTCTCTGTCAAGAACAAGCAGTAATATGCATTAAGGAGTAATGCAGGATAAGTAAAAGATCTGGTTTATTTTTCAAATATTTTCCACAAGAGAACATTTTCTCAAAGTGTAAAAGCAAGGATGTGTTTGAAGTAGGGGAATATCCTCGTAACTTTCCATTCCTTAAAAATAATAGGCCTCAGAGCCTGCAGTGCCTCTGCTCCACGCAAGTTAACACAGCAGAGGTCAACAGACGCTCACAAAACTCTAAGTAATACCAGTTTTTGTATTTTCCTGGAAGCTTTCCTGCCCTACCAAGTACTTGTGCAAGATGAATAGTTCCAGACTGTTTGTCTTTGTACCTGACCAGTTGTCCAGTTTTCATCTGGATAGTTTCATTTCCTAATATGCTTAAATCTGCCATTTCCATTGATTCTAACAATCTGCTTTCACAATCTTCTTCAAAATGATTTTCATCTCTCACTTATTGATGAATATAGTTAGCAGCGACTGTCTCTTTCTTCAATGTGTGATCATTTTGATTACATTGCACAATACCTTGGTCATTTGGCATATTCTCAGGTACATTTTCACAATCACTTTCTCCTACTTGACACTTGGCCCTCTGAAGCCGACAATGGTGTTCCATATATTGCTGTGTATAAGGTGAGTTTTAGGTACCTAGAATTAGGGGGCTTTCAAGGGGGGTCGCCTCATACACAGGATTGAAGAGTTTTGATGTGTTTTTTTCCCAAACACAAAGTCATTACAGTGAGCATGTAAGACCGGAAATACCATGTCAACAAATCAGTACTGAAGTACACAAATTAATCATGTAATTACACTGTCTGGTCATAAAAAGTGTTCATTGCATATCTGGAATCGGAAGTGGTGATTTTTCTGCCAACCGAGAGCAACCAGGAGTGGTGACATGCCCGGTCTAAATCTGGTATTAAATGATGATTGCTAAGTGGGGAAATTTGGAGATAATCTCTGTAAGAATGACGAAGCGGAGACTAATCGTGGTGTGTTGTAGATATGTAATCTGCAAATCCTGGAGGGTACGGGTATCTGTATCTCGGGTAGTACGTTGTATAAGTGTCATAACAAGGATACTCCCAGTGACTGTATATTCCATGTTGGTGATGGTAAACCACAACCGGTGACTGATCTCTATGATAGGTCAAGTGTCCGGAGGGGAAACAAACTGACAAGCAGTCACCCGAATTCGAAATAGACCTTGAATCCTTAGACCCTGATCGTTGATCCTGTATGGCTTCGGGAGCATCCTTGAAAGGAGCATTCAAATTATCTTTTGTCACACGATTGAGCGAGCATGAGTGAGTGAGTGAGTTTGGTTTTACGCCGCTTTTAGCAATATTCAGCAATATCACGGCGGGGGACACCAGAAATGGGCTTCACACATTGTACCTTTGTCGGGAATCGAACCCGAGTCTTCGGCGTGATTAGTGAATGCTTTAACCACTAGGCTACCCGACCGCCCCCTGAGCGAGCATGAAGATTCTAGGAACGGGATCTAGAACGGAGGAGTGTTAGGAGCATTCGCCGAATTTGAAGGCAGGGTTGATTCGGGAACGTTAAGGAGAACAGACCAAACATCTCGGAGAGGCGAGAGATCGGGACAGGAGACACTGTCAGTAAGAAAACTGTCAGAGAGTATCAAGAGTACTTCAGATTGAACTGATGACGTAACTTTCGTTTTCTTTGCCGATGATGTCCTTGAATCTTTTGATTAAGATTGAGTATCCATCTACGTCATTTCTGGATATAGATACAGAAAGCAGAATCACCTAAAGAATGGCTTTTATCATATTCAGATTCAGATTGGCATTTAGAACTGGTTGAACAAAGTTTATCCTTTTTCCTCCATGTTGAAACCGTCTCCAAGTGCAAAAAGCCTCACGGTAAATAAAAACAAGAGTCATCCGAGGATGACATATCCCCCCGACGTGGCATGTCGGTAAACTGTGTGTACCTTCAAATGTATTTAGATTGGCAAGGAAATCTTTTTCCTTGATGCCAAAACCAGAACTATAATGAAGGTTATTAAATATTGGTTCATGTAGCTCACTTTCTGATGATCTCATGAAATTGTAATAACAATAACTTCCAGATTCGCATATGAATAGCTCTGTAGCAGCCTCATGACACAAAGGCATAAAGAGAATGTACTAGGTTATGTAGCTCACATCATATATAGTATATGATATCGGTAAATAGTACACCTTAGAAAAAAATGTTATTAAAATCTATAAATAACAATCTGCACTACTAGTGAACATGATTGATATGTGCATAAAGTTTGGTGAATCTCTGTCGCATGGTTTAGAAGATATGCTCCAGACGAGGACATTACCCTTAGTTCATCAATTTTCAATTTAAATTGAAAAAAGAAAAAAAAGAAGAAAAAATCTGTTAATAGCAAAGGCACCACTACATAACCTGCTTGATAGGTGTAAAAACTTTTGAGAAGCTAAGTTGTATGGTTCGGGAGATATGGTCCGGACCAGAGCACTACCCTCAAATTTCCTAAGTTCATCATATTTCCATGGAAACGACAAAAATATAAAATTCTAAAAATCTCTAAATAGCAAAAGGCACTTCTACTGAGCCTGATTGTTAAGTGTAACAGGTTTTGGGAAGCTAGGTTGTACGGTTTAGAAAATATGCTCTGGACAAGAGCAGTACCCTCAAATTTCCTAAGTTCATCATATTTCCATGGAAACGACAAAAATATAAAATTCTAAAAATCTCTAAATAGCAAAAGGCACTACTACTGAGCCTGATTGGTAAGTGTAACAAGTTTTGGGAAGCTAGGTTGTACGGTTTAGGAAATATGCTCCGGACAAACAATGATTACAGACGGACGGACGGATGGACGGACAGACGGACATACTGATGGCTAAATCCCCCTGTCATTATGTCGGGGGGATAATAAAAAGTATTCACTTGGTCCAAGCAATATGTCCACACAAGGTGGCGATTAGAAAGAGAATGAGTTGGTGGAGAGTCACATGTCAAGCATGGAAGGTTACAGCGCACAAGAGGCACGTTATTGACCAACTGGGGTTGTAACCTTGTAGATGCTAGGGGTGTTCGGGCCAATGTTTTTTATTTAGAAGCTGAAAACGGGGTTCAAGCACATTTCCACATAGGATTGAAGAAGAAAGAAGATATGTATAGTGTGGGATAGGATAAGTTTCAAAATAATGCTTTTTACGTACACTCTTTATGTTAGCTTTGCGCCCGTTCACTGTCCATAGTGACTTATCCTTGTGAATCTCTCGCTGGATGATATGGTTTTCACCCTTGGGATTGTACCTGCAAGATACAAATCTATCAGCATGGCTAGTTCTACTAAAAATGGCATTACCAGTGCCACAATGATCATCTGTAATGGATAAAAACTGAGAACGTTCATATTTTCAAAAAATCATGTACTCATATTATAGTCATATACCCAAAGTATAACTCTTTATCATTTGATAATAACATCTCATTGATAACAGAAAAATTATTCCACTATTAGCTTCAAGATTCTCACAATTCAAGCTCTATCTTTCCTCTTTCATGTCCATACTTGATGAAGTCTGCTGGCTGACTGGCTCTGCCTAGCCATGCCGTCTTCCCAGCTAGACCAAGGCATATTGCACACACAATAGTTGACTTCCCAGTACCATTGGGGCCAATGATAACATTCAAGAAAGGCCCAGTGTTGAATTCAACAGAGTCATAAGTCCTGAAAAAAACAAAATTAACCATCTGCATAGTTTGTACACCAGATCATTTGAACATGTACATGTTAAACTGTTACTTTCGTGCCAACTCAACATCCATACTTCACCCCAAGTTGACAAGCTATTGACTAGTTTGGCACTGTCAAGTCTGGCATTTATTGACGGTCATGTCTGATGCAAGCTTAGACAGAGTCTAAAGTTTTTGTTGGGCATTAATTATGCCTCCAAATTAACGATACAACCATGTTTTACATGCTGAATGCTGACCTTGATCTTTTACTTACTTGACCAAAATCTTTTCAAAGAAATGCCCCATCCTAAAGAAGGTAGATATGAAATTGAATGATAATGCATAAAAACTATTGGAGAAAGAGTAACCATAAGTGTCATTCTGGTGACATTTATCTATCATGTGGCCTTGACCTTTAGAATTAGGGGCGGTCGGGTAGCCTAGTGGTTAAAGCGTTTGCTCGTCACGCCAAAAACCAGGGTTCGACTCCCGACATGGGTACAATGTGTGAAGCACATTTCTGGCGTCCCCCGCCGTGATATTGCTGGAATATTGCTAAAAGCGGCATAAAACCATACTCACTCACTCACTTTAGAATTATTTTTGACACATGCCTAAAGTATTCCTATTTGGAAGACGTCAGTGGGAGAATATTATCTAAAATATCAATAATCTAAATACAGTAGACAATAGGAAGAATCAACAGCAGCAGTCAAATTACGCCAAAACCTGAAAGCAGTCCCATGTCCTGGGTCTCATGTTGTGAATGTATTACATGGCAGCAGAGCAAGAGAGAAATGGTCAGTTGAACAAATTGATCAAAGGTTAACTGATAATACGTTGATTGATTAATCACTGTTTTCTTGCCTTGTGAATTTGTCAGAAATTAGTGCTTCTATATGTAGGTTTACTAAAGTAGAAGGAATACACCTATATACGTAGGTTTACTAAAGCAGACGGAATACACCTATATCTGGACGTGAAGCGAATATGTAAAAACAACATACTTTGTTCAAAGGATTAACCGATAAAAAGCTTTTTTTAAAGAGTCATGGACATCATGAACACAGTTATCACTTGTGCTATCCCAGCTGACAAGTAAGACATATGACACCTATGTGAAACACCTGAAACAAATTTATGTTTCACAGTTAAAAGATGAAGACAGGTTATAATATCCCAAAACGCTATTTATATTATAAAATATTGCATTCTTACAAAGACACGCGTCTTTGTACAGCTTCAGCGGTATGTGATATTGTTACTTTATTTGGATATTGACGGATACATTCCTTGAACAAGGTAACTGCCTAATATTTTCATACATTTTTTGTCATTTGTACGATATTTGCATTTCGTTTTCATTCATTTGCTGTAGCAAGGATGCAAGACTCAACAGGTGTCGCTTCCCACAGCCTAGCTAGAATAGCGCCAAACACACGTCAAAATTATAGTCCATAAGCAAATTTTTATCCGTGAATATCCGGGGTAGGGTGAGGGGTTGGAGTACGGGCAGAAGTCTTACCAATGTCTTTTTCAAAGATCAGAGCCGTGTTTACCTGTGGCAACTTCCAGCTGATGACATTTTAGTGAACTTTACAAGTGATGTGTAAGTTTAATATTCATATTGTTATAGTTTGTCAAAATATAGATATACTGTTCAAACATTCAATGTGGGAATGTGGGGAAAAGTCCATTTGGGAAATGTCAGTGTGGGTTAGGCCCTATTGTCGGGAAGTGTCCTATAGGCCTACTGCTAATACACTGCCAGCATGTACATTAACAGAACGCTACACGTAAAAACGTTGCAAAAAATTAATATTTAGTCATATGAAATGTTGCTTGCGAGAAGAACACCGAAGAAGAAGAAGTTACCGTTATAACCAAGCCTACACAGCATACTACATCACTTTTATCAAGATCTAAGGCTGCAATGCAAAACCTGCATTCTATCAAATTGTTGTCTTCGACTTACAATATATTTTCTAATTTGATGCGCACGATGGATCCTTCTACGTATCCCAAATCTTTCTTTACTGCTTTTTTACCAGTTGTGTTGGATATATTGACGTTATTTTCGTTATCTTCTTCCATCAAATGTCGCTTCTTACTCGAATTCATCTTTGCATTCGCGCGATAGACAATCCTCTCGTCAAAACGATCTCAAGTGACCGAGAATTGTGGCCTTTTGATGTTTTTTCTATGAAATGGATTTCATGCTTCTCGTAAAGTAAATAGAGAAGATATAAAGTAGTTTATCACTGTTATCTATGAAATGTAGGTGCATATAAATCCCGTATCGCAGCGCCACTGTGAACAGGACATGTAAACTGGTTCCACTGTTGCTTCGCGCATCCACCGAAAACGGCAATAGTCAAAAACGGCCTTAACTGAAAACAAACTTATGTAATGTGTAAATTTCCACGTCACCATTGTGCGCGAATTTACACGTGATTCATCAAATTCCATGTCAGTACGAAATGATCTCATAAAAACTTATCAGCTGGGTATGCTTCAAAACGATGAAAGATCTCATGCTAGAGAAATGATGAACGTGGAGCGATTCTGCATGATCAGTCCCTTAGTCAGAAGCCTTGGAATCCTGTGCTGAAACCTTTGCTTTGCCCAGTTAATTCCCATAATGTTCCGAACTCTCTCATGAAAGATGCCGACTGTGTTGGCCATGTAATGCGTGGTGATCATCCACAATCATATTATAAATTATATCAACATTTTACTTTGAGGTTGCAGTTGAAAGACTTATATGTCATCTTCGATGCTCTCTTGGTCCCTCTTGAACTCATAGTATGAGCGGCCATTCGGTCAAAAAATACAATGTTGAAAAAAAGGACAAAAGTACGCAATTAAGGTCAAATATTACGAAAAAAGAACTAAATGTTACTAATAGGGGTCAAAATACAAAACAAACAGACGCCGTTTAAACATACAAAGTTGAAATAAATGTCAAAAGTACGCAATATTAATAGTCAAATGTTACGAAAAGACGTCATAAGAAAAGAAAGAACAATGTGTACGAAAGAACGTCAGTGAGCACGAAAGGACGTTTTCAATAAAGAACGTCTGTGAGCACGAAAGGACGCTGACAATAAAGAACGCCAGATGGCGCTGCAATTTGTAAAACATTCCGAGTTTAATCGGCTTGTTCCGCCGTGTATATGATAACTGCATGCCGAGGTGCACAATGTATTACGTCATTCCTTGTGCACTCACCGTCTGACGTCACACACATATATATACATGTATTTATAATGTATAATGTACACATTGTGTATAAACATGTTGCGTTAAGCTTTGTCACCGCTTAAGGTCCTTTTCAAAATACAGTATACTGTGTAATCCAACATCTGCCTAACATAAGTACATGTATTTTGTATACAACCTTCAAAAAACACTCACTTAACGCTAAACTAGGATTCATCTACAGTGATCCAGTAACTGTTCATGTATATTAATGGTTTATGAAATCATCAAAGATAATTCTGAAACGTCGCCGATAACCCTAGAATCGTTTAAAATGTTTTAGAAAACACGAACACCGAAGCGAACTTTCCGACATATTGGATAGCTTTACAAAATCATGTTTCACGTAGGCCGGTTATGAGACGCCTGTAACATCACATATATTTGAAACACAGCTGCGATACATACATCCCTGACTTACGCATACATTTCGGCATCAACTTACAAGTTGTCTTTGTCACATATAAATGTGGATGTAAACAAGCGAAATAAATATGGTTTGAAAACGAACGCTGGCGTCATAGATGAAACCCGATTTTCTTTATTTAAGGCGAGCTATTTTTTTTCTAACGAATGTGTAAGTTATACATATGCATACAAATCCATTTGGTATATATATTTGTTGTTCAGATATTAGGCAGCATTTTGTTCGCACACAGTTTCCGAAAAGCGGTTAAATAAAGCAAACTCTCGCACAACGTTCACTTTTCAGAAGAAAATGTGCGTCTGAAACAAAACTCGACATCATAGCACCCTCGTGTTGCACCAAGCATAAACAGTTATTGGATCACTGTAGATGAATCCTAGTTTAGCGTTAAGTTAGTGTTTTTTGAAGGTTGTATACAAAATACATGTACTTATGTTAGGCAGATGTTGGATTACACAGTATACTGTATTTATGAAAAGGCCCTTAAGCGGTGACAAAGCTTAACGCAAAATGTTTATACACAATGTGTACATCATACATTATAAATACATGTATATATATGTGTGACGTCAGACGGTGAGTGCACGAGGAATGACGTAATACATTGTGCACCTCGGCATGCAGTTATCATATACACGGCGGAACAAGCCGATTAAACTCGGAATGTTTTACAAATTGCAGCGCCATCTGGCGTTCTTTATTGTCAGCGTCCTTTCGTGCTCACAGACGTTCTTTATTGAAAACGTCCTTTCGTGCTCACTCACCCTTTCGTACACATTGTTCTTTCTTTTCTTATGACGTCTTTTCGTAACATTTGACTATTAATATTGTATTTTGACCTTTAGTAGTAACATTTAGTTCTTTATTCGTAATATTTGACCTTAATTGCGTACTTTTGTCCTTTTATTCAACTTTGTATTTTTTTACCGAATGGCCACCCATACCAATGCCCACCTCTTAACAGTGGCAAAGGAAGGAGCATCCCTTAAGTTCACACCATGTCGCCATGGATTAGCCCCTTCAGTTGGAGATACTCTATTTTGTCCATTTTCAGCAACAGCTAATTCCTATAGTCACTTTTATGCTTGCACACATGCTGCCCGGTTGTGTATTTGGTTGAAATGCTACCTGTAAGCATGGAGAATATTGTGCTTAACACTTGCAAACTATAAAGGGCTTACAGTACATCATTCGTAGTTAGGCTAAAACGTTTCAGCCACCCCTCGTAGGCTGATTGATCACGTTAGGATATTACTATTTCTTACTGCTATATAACAGAACTTATCCAGTGTAGATTTATGAAGATTTAAGTTTTATTAAGCTTGACCGTTGGGAGAAGCATTGGACACCTTCACAATTTGACCCTCCAAAGTATATACAACAATGCAAAGCCAAACGGGTATCCTTCAATCTGCCAATGGCCTACTAACTATCGGCTATGGCGCAGGTTTAGTTTTTGGCTTGTGTGATGACAGTTATCTAGTATAGACATGCCGAATGTGAAGATCACTGACACAAAGGAAACATTGCATGTTATCTTACAATTCACATTCAGTACTGATATGCTATTATACAAATTGACGGAGAGGACGAGGACGAAGAATCTATAGCACTGCAAACCAAAGGTCAATAGTATCTCCATCGCACGTTTTGAAGGGTGAGTTATGCACACTTGTTGCATTTGAACGACATATAAAAGCTGACTCGCATGTTCAACAGCAGGGGAATAACACTGTTCATAATTTTGTGTAAATATAAAAATTCAGTCTCCATCTGCTTGAAAAAAACAACAACTTTTTAATACGTCTAGACCACAATATGGCCATCCTCATCAATACAGAATATTTCGTGAGCAAAGCCATAATCTTTGTCCGGGAAACAAGACCATGAGAGACAGTGTGCCTGTAACCCCTATTTATTAATAATCATTTCAAGAGGCCATACCAGTTGTTGGCTGTGACGGGAAATGACCATTAAGCATCATATACCCTTACTTGGAAACTGACGAGCAAAAGAAACGTTACCAGTCAACATTGTTTGTTCCTAAAACCAGAACAGGAAGATTCTTGTATAGTCAAAAGACATGAATTAACAACATCACTCCAAGTTACGCCATGAGAATCAAGTTGCCCTAAAATGTACCCTTTTGTGGTTTGAGATGCATCAGTTGTGAGGATGAAAGGTTTGTTTTGGTCGGCTATGCAAGGAAGGGGGTTGTGGTAAGGGCTTGCTTTAGCTTTACGAATGCATGTTGGCAATTGTTGGACTATTTGAAATACGCGTCTTTTTTCAGAAGGTTATGTACAGGGGAGGCAATGCCAGAAAGGTTTGCTACAAATTTGTGATAATATGAAGCCAAATCTAAGAAATGACGCACGTCAAGGACATTATAAGAGGGTGGGATCTATGTGACTAAATCTATTTTTGAAGGATCGACATGAATGCTATCTTTGATGAAGGTATTCTCTAAGTAGGTGACTTGTTTTGTCACAATTTTACATTTGCTTGGTTTTAGAGTGAGTCCTGCTTCTTTTATCTTTCGGAATACAGCCTTGAGGTGACACAAATGTTCCAAAGACGTTTAAGAAAATATTATGTCATCTACATATATTAGTAAGTGACGCCAATTCATTTCCTTATTGCCTCTGAAAAGGTTTGCAGAAATGCGATTAGAGCTTTTTTTAGGTCAAAGGGAGGCGATTCCATCCTAAAACAGCATCGGGTGTACTTTAGGCCATCTTGTGTTTTGCATCTGGATGGAATGGTATTTGCTGAAAGCCACTTGCACAATCAAGCACACTAAAAATATTGGCAGAGGTGGAAGAGGGGAAAATATAGGTTTGGTAATTGCATTGAGGCGTTTCTAATCTAAGGCAAAGCGGAAAGAGCTATCACGTTTTTCAACCATGACAATGGGAGAGTGCCATTCAGAAGAAGTGGGTTGAATTATATTCACTTCAAACATTTCTTGCACCTGTCTGGAACATTCTTTCCAAATGGGTGTGTTTTGCCTATGAAAAGGGAGACTGATGGGTCTGGTGTCACATATTTCTATTTTGTGATGATGTAAGCGAGTGTGTTCTCAAAAACTGATCTTTGTGATTGGAGAAATGCATTTTAGTGAGTACTTGGACTTTCAATATTTTTAAAATGCTTTGGGGACAAAAGCTCCACGACGTTAAGGGATATTGCATGGCTAGTAGTGGCGTCTCACCAATGACATCAAGATGAAGTATGGCCTGTCTCCTGCCCATCCAGTGTGCCTTTTACGGACCATCAGCCTGTGGACAGTCATTCCACTACAGCCTAAACTCTTTGCAGCCTGGTCATGTATCAAACCAATGGCTTGTTTTTTTCAGTACCATTAATGTCAGCATGTTATTTGTCACTGTCCAATGGTTTGAGTGTGAATGAACATTACATCGTTCCTTCCTGTCCCTTACGGAAACATCTCAACAGTAAGGTGTTATCTTCCGAGTCAGTTTGTCAGGCAAGCCTCTTATGGAAACATTTGAAAAGTAAGGCTTTATATTCCGAGTTAGTTTTTCACGAGTGTATCTTATGGAAAGATTTCAACAGTAAGGCTTTATCTCTCAGTTAAATTTTCCAAGCTTGTTTGTCTCGAGTGTGTCTGATGAAAACATCTCAGCAGTAAGGCATTA